AGAGCAGGAAGAGCGTAGTTTCTGCCCCCGTCATGATGTCACTAATCTGGTTTTAGGAAGGGCGTAAAGAGGAAGTGCATGTGAGAGATGATAAAAAAAAAAAAAAATTCAGAGCACTAGAAACTCCAGCCTACGACAGCAGCAGCATGCCTTTTAAAAGGAAAAAGAAGGTAGGCACTGCATTCTGACACAGCTCTGCACACCGGTAAAACTTTGCTCTAAACTAAAGATTCAGGCAACCATATTTGAATTGACTTTATTTTACAAAAATCAGTAAATACAAATAAAAATGGAATCTAAAGAAGTTAAAAACAAGGAGAAATTCCATCCACAAGCAAAAAGTGGACTTCAGCGGTCCTGAAAGTCGATTCAGAAGAACTGGAAAACAAAACGGAGACGTGCGTCAGACTCTGCAACTCAAAACGGAAAGACCTGAAATACAAATGGATGGCTTAGAGATTTTTAAAATGGGTAATGTCCTAAAAGTTGTTTTGCGTACCTGTCCATCACTGGACCAGCCTGTAGGTGATGTACCTGCCAGCAGTTTCACTGGGTCGGATGATTTTCACAACCTGTGAAATTCACAAAAACAGCTTCCATTTGGGTTTTTTTTTAATGATGTTTCCATAACACTGCTGATGTTACATTTGTTTGGACAAATGTTTGCATTTGTCCAAACATTTATTCAAATCAGACAACTGTGCTGCTCATAAAAGTTCCAGTAAACAGAGAGTTCATTTTGAAGTGAATCGTGGCTGATGAGAACATTTGAGGTTAGCGCTGTTAGTCTGCAGCTGCACCCGTGAGAAAAACATTTTTACAGAACTGACTGAACCCTTTATGCAGTTGTTTAAATGTCAAAACCGCTTTCGGGTGTATGCATTTCTTATTTTTATGGTTCGATCTTTCTACCTGAGTGGGAATTTGCATGCTTGGTTTTGCCTGTCACCTTGCTGGAGTTTCCCCAGTCAGATGTCACAGATTATTTCTACTCGTATTTAATGCATAGTGCTCGTCTATGTTTACCTGTCCTCTCTTCAATCCAAAGTAGCGAGCCACGGGGTCTCCGGCCTGTATCCTTGGTAACTGGCTTTCCTTTAACTTGCTAAATTAAAAGAGGATAAGGAGAACAAAGGCACAAACAGAAAACAAAGCATAAAACCTCTCGGCACATTGCAACACAAACTGCAGAGGAGGATCGATCAGGATACTATCTGGCTAGAAGTTCAGTCACTTCCTCTTTCGTCATGACGATGTGCTCAGGAACAAGCTGAAAGTCAGAGACAGGATGCAGAATTGAAACCGTCGTCGTTTTTAGTTCACGTTAAAAATAAAAATAACTCATTGTTGTTTACCTCATGCTCTGTGATGTTAATAAGCAGCTCCTGCTGCAGAAACTGCTCCAATATGTACTTGGGTGCCATGTCCACTAGAGACTGCAACAAATATTGATAAACAGATTTAGAAAAACATCCAGGACAGGGTCACTTTTCCAAACCTTCTCACGCGAAGCGTTTGCACGAGTGTGAGAGTTGTTCACCTGCTTGGCCGAGGGCGTCATGCCCATCTGAACCACAATGATGGCTCTGGTGATGTTCTCCTCCTGCATCCGCTGGCAGTACATCTTGATGGTCTTTATCCCCACTTTGGGTTCCTCTGGTGGGGACGACAAAACGATGAAGACGAAGCTCTTTCACCCATCAGATCAAATTTCAAATAAAGCAGTAATATTTGCAATCACTGTGCCTCATTTCTTCCTGTTCAAGTTAGAACTTGAATATCTTTGCGTCTTTCTCTCAGGAAAAGACTAGAACTGTTTACACCTGATCGGACAGTTTGACACTGAATATGAGATAAATCTTGCAAAAAAAATAAAAAATAGTATCGCATATCTCAGTTTCTGGTTCAAGTCTTCTTAAGATTTCTTCTCTCACTTGAAATATGTAAAGGATGTAACTTCAGTTTCATTTAGGTTTTTTTTTTTGTCAACTAGACCATTTTCTACCAAGCTCTGACCTCCTGATTTCTACTTTTTTTTTTAGCTAGAACATATAAAGGAAAAGACATTTTGTAGTTCTTCTAATACAAAAAAATGAAGGAATTTCAAGATGATCATTTATTATTATTATTATTATTATGCTGGCAAAAGCCATTATGAATTCATAACTAGAGGGTTACAAATTAACAGTGTGTGTTTGTGCTGATACTGGGAAGCAAATATAATCTAAAAATATTAAAATGATGTACAAAAAAGTAGATTAAAAGTAAGAAGTAAAATAATATTTAACATAAACCTTCAAAGTAATTTAAGAAAAATTTTGTATTTATTTATTTTTTGCTCAAAATTGCGTCAATAAAACACAAAATTTCTGAATCCTTCAAAGTAAATCAAATACTTTGCACAGTACCGTTTAAAGACTGAACGGTAAATGCAAAACCTTACCAGGAAAGAAAACAAACATCTGATCTGTGGGATCATCATTATGTGCCACCAGCACCGTAAGGTCTGTACGTCTGGGTCGACCTTCGCTGGGCTTGTCTCCGAACTGACTCTTGAACTCCTCCAGAGTCTGATCCAACTCGTCTTGTGTCACCAAATAGCCTCTGTCATGGCAGAGCTGTGGGAGAATCAGAAGCAACGTTAGTTTGTTTATTTATTTAGAGCAGGTTTGTCCTGTCTGACAGTCCCACTATATAGACTTTATCCATCACTGGTTCTTACTTTTAGCGTAAGCTTATATTCAAATAATGATAGTCAGTGGAGTCCAGCAACGTTACAGCGAGAATATTTACCTCAAACTGTATCGTTAGTTAATCTGTTATTCATTTTTCAAGCTTTATTTTTGATAGGTTGCTACTGTATTACACTGAAAATGCTAAATGTCAGCAAGAAAAAAAGAGTACAAAACTCTATGAAACACCAGGATTTCCATCACCACGAAGAGCTCTTCATTGAAACAAGCTACTCGCCGAGCTAACATGCTAAGGAAGATAACTTTCAAATCTAACGCACCTGCATGATGGTTTTGCGGATTTTCCACAACCTGTAAGTTTCCTCCTCGTCATCCATACCGCCTTAAATAACCCAAATGAACAAAATGTGCAAAAAGTATTAAGTTTTTTAAATGGATATGTCAATTTTGATCCTCGTCTTGGACAAGGCGACACACGCTTTCCTTTACCAACGCAGGGTAATGACGTCACGCGCTGTGAGACATGAATCGCCAGTGCCATAGACATGGCCAGTGCGTCTGCCATATTGTGAGTGGCAGCGTCGTGTTAATTCCCCAACGGAAACGGTATCTTGTTTTGTTTTCTCATATACGGATGTTTTTTTCTGGTTAAAAGGCTCACAGAAGTTCACGTTCAAGTAATTTTATATTTATCTTTTGCTTGTAATACAGAAAACTCTTATACAGCTCCACAATGCACTTTGTTCAGTTCAGTTTTAGTTAAAATCAGGGTCATGGTCTTTGCCATAATATGGCATTAATATTAATGATTATTATTGCAATATTGTTGTGAAAAAATATTCAAATGGTGTTACGTAAAATCTTGCTTTTAAAATAGCATGCGCCAGTGGCTTTTATACAATTTTGGATTTACTGCAACAAAAATAACTCATGACTATCACAATATGGCGGCGACGTTAACGCTAACGTTAGCTAAATGAATAAATAATAATAATAATAATAATAATACATTAACAATTTGCTCCGCCCTCTCCAGCTCTTTCACAACATATCGCTCAGCAGGGCGGAGTCAGTCACGGTCAGCTGCTATGGAGTTGGACCCCGTATTTATACAAAACTGCCCAAAATGAGACCCTTATATGTTATTTTTGCAGTAGGGACTCTGGCGAGCATTGGGTCGCTGTTGGCGCTGATACTGTACTTTGTTTTATCTACAACGGTAACGTAAAACTCTGATACGTGATGTGTTTTCGTGTGCGAGATTGTCAAACTTGCTTAACAATGAGCAAGCTAACCTCCACAGCTGTAACATCATATTTCTGTTAGCTTGTTTTTCTTAGTGTCGTCATGCTGCGAGCCTTTGATTAGCATTCAAGGGCTCCCTAGCTGGCTAACACCCCTGTACTGCTCCTCTCTATAAACAGTTTGCACAGACAGTGTACTTTGGTTCGGACAAATATTCAAAGTAACAAGATTATACTTCATGACACTCAAGCCAATATCCCTCTTGCCCTCTGGGTCATGTCACCGCTGATAACCGCATCATTTAAAAACACAGCTGCATGTTCCGTTTGTCATGTTGCATAACTGAATCACAGCTTAAAAAAAAACATTCATACCCTTGTTTGTTTTCACATTGCAACCATACATTTAAATGTGTTTTATCGCAGTTATGTTTGATGGAATAAATTGGAATTGGAATGAAAAAAAAGTTTTTCAAAGTCTCTGAAGAAAATATAACAGTATAACTAACATTTCCAGTTGTATGAATTTTTCTGTATTAGTAAATTACTGTTATGAAAAGGGTGAATATTACACAAACTTGCTTGAACATGATATAAGAAAAATCCTTCTAAATCTTTTGAACATGTTTCCAAATCGAGGTCATTTTGCTTTTTATTGAATAATGTTTTTCTCGGCACTCACGCTGGAGATTTCCCACATCAGCTTGCATAACGCTGCTTGAAAACGCCTTGGAAACACACACTCTTTTGTTGTCTAGGCTTATGATTTGGTTGCTTTTAAGCTCTGGCACTCAGATGAACTTCTTCAACCTGCATGTGTTCCCCAAACGTGTCTGGTTTCCAGTTAGATTTTTTTTAATTAAATCGCGTTACACAAACAGTCTGAGTGTGTTTGCTCTGACCACCTCTCTTTGCCCCGGGGGCCGCATGCAGCTCAATTCCCCCCCCCCCAAGATTATCAAAAAACTTTGAACTATGGACTGCTGGACATGTGCCCTTCTGATCTGGATTTATTTGTTTAGAACCAAGGAGTCACAGCTTATCATTTCTGTAAATCTGCGCCCGCCCCCTGGTAGATTGTGAACCACCTGGTGTGCGCTCTATCTGCGTCAGTCTGAGGCTGTAAGCTTTAGTGACAGATCGCGAGGCGTAGAGAGCTGATTGTTCTCTCTGTCTTCAGAGGAACAAAGTAAGAGGCAATCATGCGCCTGACAGGGTGCACAGTGCTGCTCTCTGTCCTGCTGCAGGCGATGGTAAGACGGAATCAAATTAGGGCTCAAATGCTGAATCTTAATCTAATTTTTATTCATAACTTTGCTATTTTTTCAGTATTTGTATCCCCATTTGCACGTAATTCGAAGTAGAAATGCTGACGTGGCTCTTATATCATTTTAACCCCTTTTTTGCCCCCCCAACAGTCTACCCCCATCGAGGACTGGCAGAGAGCTACGTCCATTTATGAATTTAACGCAACAGACATCGATGGGAATTTGGTGTCCCTTGAGAAGTACAGGTAAGTCTGATTGTGATCATTTCTCTTTTAATGTGACAGCTACAGTATCTTTCTTTAATGTGTTTTTTTTGTGTGTGTGTCTTCAGAGGAAATGTTGTCATCATCACCAACGTTGCCTCTAAATGAGGTAAAACTCCTGTAAACTACTCTCAGCTTGCTAAGATGCACGCCAAGTACGCTGAGAGAGGTTTACGCATCCTTGCCTTCCCATCCAACCAGTTTGGGAACCAGGTACGTTTAAATTAACTTAAATCGTATTTTACTGATGCAAAGCTGGACTACGACCTGAAAAAAATAAAATAATTCATGCTAAAACGAATAGACTTTGATAACAGATTTTACAATTTACACGACCGCAGACGTAGTTACAGATGTAAGTGTTTTCCCACTGGGGACAGTGCTGGCATATACTAGGTAAGGCTTTTATGAATGTGTTTATTTTGGATCTCTGCCTGTTAGTCAGCAGAATTATCCAGAAGCTGCCAGCTTATTGAAGCTCTGTGTAATATAAGAACGTAAATGGAGAAAGATACCTTCAAGTAAGTGTAGGTTCAGCCCATGAAAGAAATATTATAATATTTTTGTGACTCAGGTCTGTTCTGTGGCAGACAGTACCGGTCAGCAACTTTCACACAGTCTTCATTAGCATCATTGTAGTTTATAGTTTGGGAATTAATAACTTCTTTTTTTTATCTGTTCTTTTTTAAGAAATCTGACACAAAATCAGCAGTTTCTGAAAACATGACTTGGAAGCACCAGTTTCAATTTATTTTGGGCTTCATCTAGTCCACCTTGCATCAAAATTATATAAACTTAAACACAAACACTAACCACCTGATGTTTGGTAAAAAAAAAATTCCAGGAAGTTGCAGTACAACAACATGCTTTTTGTAGCAGCCAACAAGCACGATTTTTTTTATTTGAATCTAGATATTTAAATTGATTTCAATTGGTTGGTTTCCTGGCCACAAATTTTAAACAAACATGCGGTGGTGTGTGTGTGTGTGTGTGTGTGTGTGCGTGCGTTGATGTTATTGTGCTTTAGCCATGTTGAAACCAGTTTTGATCTGTTTGTCGTCATTGCCCCATTAGAATACCCACTGTGTCCACGTTTCAACCATCTATCGATTAGAGTTGAAGTTGAAGAAATTAACAATAGTCCAGCAAACAGATCCTCAGCATGATGCCACCACCACCATACTCCACAGCTGACACAGTGCTAAACACTTGCCTGGCTCCTATGGGCCAGGAACTCAAACTTTGTCTTGCCTTACTGTGTATTGATTTTGTTTTTTTAAAACTAACTGGTCTCCGTCATATCCGTTTGCTTTCTGGTTTTTTACCTGCAGGAGCCGGGTAATGAGACTCAGATCAAGCAGTTCGCCCAGGGCTACGATGCTCAGTTCGACATGTTCAGTAAGATCGAAGTGAACGGTGAGAACGCTCACCCGCTGTGGAAGTGGATGAAGGAGCAGCCCAACGGGAAGGGGACCTTTGGAAAGTACGTTGATAAAAAAAATATTTAAGTAAGACACTAGTCTGTAAAAGTTGGAGACCAGTTAATCACAGCTGCAGATTACAATGCATCTTAAAATCAACTTTAGCACCAGGGATTTATTTAAGCTGAAATGAAGGTCAATCAAATGAGAAATTATTTTTCTGACATGCCTTTTGTTTTCAATCCTGCAGTAGCATCAAGTGGAACTTCACTAAGGTAATCCCAACTAACAGTTTAGATTGTTTGACCTTGTTTTCTCTTTTTTTTTTTCTAAATTAATAAGAAACTACTTTACTACTTAACTGTTTGGTGTGTTTTTTTTTTTAAAGCTCATGCTAAGTTACTTTTTGTTTTCTTTTCTTTTTTGTACCTAGTTTCTGATCAACAGGGAGGGACAGGTGGTGAAAAGATACGGACCCCTGGACGATCCAAGTGTACGTACAAAATCCTTCCCTCTGTTGGCGAATTGATCTGAGCTGTGACAGACTTGCTCAGATCAAACGGAACCTCGATCAAACTTCCCTTTACAACAACTTGTGTTAAATGGCAAACATTGAACAAACTAACTTAATTTCTGTCTCATTATTCATAGAAACTGGAAGATTCCCAGATGACATTTTACTCTTTCTTTGTTTCCAGGTGGTGGAGAAGGATCTTCCCAAATACCTTTAATACACCCCAATCATTCCTCGACTACTGATGCCATGCTTACCATATTACATCTCCAATGCTTCCTTTCGTGTCTTTGCCTCTCCAAGAACCGATTCATATGGTTAAGGTCCATCCCAGACCAGTGACGGTCTGTTCTGAAATCCGCATTGCGGACAGGACAGACCTGATGAAAAGGGCGTGCCAACCTTCTGGAAGGATCTCAAAACTGATATGAATCTGGTTCACTGGAGAGAAGGAGACGGGGTGTCCGGTGCACATCAATAATTCTCTTAATCTACATAAAATGATGCCTTTTTTTTTTTTCTTAATAAATTTGCTCAGATCTAAATTGTAGTTTTGGTCTGGTCTGTGAGATTTCTCGTTAGTGTTGCTCTTTTCCACAACTGGCTAGAGATTAAAAGGGGCCCAAAGCATGCCGACTGTGTTTAGTTGACATTATTTATTAAATAACTACCACTGAATGATAGCCATAGATGGCTCTAGGAATAGGCAATATTGGCAGTTGCTCAGGACGCCAACTTCCAAAAACCCTTCCAAGAAATAACAATAAATAGCAGCAAGAAAATGTTGGCCGACTGTCTGCAGTAAAAAATAAAAATTCAAACATATAAGTAAAACAAATGATCACATAACTGAACCGCTTCACTGATAAAGAAATATTTACATTTTTCCAGTTTCTTAAAGTTTTTTTTTGTGTGTATCATAATTATAGTGGTGAATAAATGCCAACTTTTCTAATATTTTCCTTAGCTTGCAGTTTAGCTAAATATGGCAGGCATAGTGCTTCTGAAGTTGGCATTGAGTTTGTAGCTTCTGCAAGAACAGTTTGACCTATTTATCTTTGGAATTGAATTAATGAGATGAATCAGACCAGCTTCATGTCACGTTCCTGCCCAAAACAACTGAACAACAATCTACCAGGTTAGGGCTTGTTGGACAGTATTTCCTCTCTGAATAGGTCAAATGAAAACAATTCTAGGTCAAAAGTAAATTAATAATTTCTTTTAAAAAGCTCATAAATAAATATTTTTGCTCCAGTTCAGGCCCCGTATGTTTTTTTTTTAGTTTACTTAAGACTGGGTTCTGACTTTCTGTGAATAAATGGTTAACGGGATGCCAGTTGAATGTGGAGAGGGAAGAGTTTAAAAATGTTTGACTATATTTTAGAAAACAGTTAATAGATTTTTAGAGCCTTATAGGATACCAGGATATGAAACAGAAATCTTTGTGGGCGTAACTTCTATATCTAGAAACTATACATTTCCCATTTTGAATCTAGTGATTTGCAACATATAGGCTGCAATGTAAGCTGTAACTTTTTAATAATCTATTTAATTCCACAATTAAAAAAATGAGAATATCATTTGTGAAAGATTGTGCCATCCCAATTCACTGTACTGTTACAGTACAATATTGATAATGTGAGGAGCTGCAGCTCTCTTGAGATTTTCCAAATATTAACTTGAAAAATCTGCTAAAAACTGTGCAGGTAAGAATTGCACGAGTCTGTGTGTGTATGTTTGAACTGTACATTGTTTCTTTAAAAAATGTTATTAGTAGTAATACGAATTTATTATCAATTTGCATACATAAAATTTAAGGATGGGTTTTGATGAAGTAGTTGGGTAAGGGGGAGGGGAAAAAAACCTGCATATGTTTACTTGAGTTATTAGAATCACTTTACTTTAATCCATAGTGCAGTTTTCTGGCGGTCTTTTTTATAAAAGTATTCAAGAATGAATAAAGTTAAAGATGCCACTGCTAACTCCAGGATTCACAAGGGATACACACTGAAAATGTCCAGTAATGCAAGTTTTCAGTGAGTTCCTGGCTGCAGTTCCCCCACATGCCTGCAGATGGAGCCAGAGCTTCCTTTATCAGCACCAACCAGGCGGCAGCAGCGGGAGCTGCTCAGTAGGCAGCAGCAAGTGCAGCCAAGACGAGCGGACTCTGCGCTGCTTCGTGAGGGAACACCGCACTGATGAGGGGACCGTCGCTGAGAACCGTCTCACATTACTCCTGGTGATTACCGTGACACATCCATCAACGCGTCCCTCCGCCTTCCGCCGGGATTTCACCGCCGCTGAGAGGGTCTGTCTTTCGGAGGACGTGCTTGTTTTCTTTTTCCTCCGGGAAGCTGAATGGAAGCAGCAGCCGAGGGAGCGGTCGGGCTGTCGGAGGCCGGGGAAGGGAGCCCTCTGTCCGGAGCCACAGCATCCGATGATGGGGAGACGGTTGTGGGAGTCAGCTACGGGATGGACGCCGCAGACATGGGTATTTTATCACGTATTCATTAACCTCCATTCCTCTTTAATGTTCGTTTATTTTCCTCCTTCTTATTGTTATTTGTTAGATTTTCTCTTTCTGCTGCTGTGAGCAGAAAGTCCCGACTCATCTCTGCTAGCCTCAGGAACTGGAAAGCTAAGCTAGTAGCTTGGTAATGGGTGAGCAGAGCAGGTGAAGTTATGAACATGCAGTTCTTGGCACTGGGGAGCGTGTTGTCTGCGTATCCTGAGCGGCTAGAAACACAACGAATCACGGACAAGATTAGACAAGCAAATGGGCGTTATTATATATGTATGAGCTGATAAATGTACTAGTAAGCTGGGGGAAATAAAAACTAGACAGAGGCGTTGCTAGGATATTAGACCACCTCTCTAACAGGGACAGCATGTTTCGTTCGGGTGCTTCTTGTTAATTAGAAAAATAATAAATAAAAATATACATATATATAAATGAAGACTTTTCTATTTGATTTTGAGAAACATGAACTGTAAAAACCACTTCATTAAAAACAAACCCAATTTGTGTCATTTTTCCAGATTCACTACAGGGTGAAATATGCCCTGCTTTGATTTAACACAACAGCTTTGGGTTTGAATTTGAGCCATGGGGTTAGGCTTTCAACCCAAAAGACTGATGAAGTCAAATTAATTGATTTTATCCACCTTACCATGTACATCCTTAATTCTTGCAGGATTGCTGGTGGATGCACACTTATATGTTCAATGTTGTTGAGAGCGTCTCAGGTGCAAGTTGGAAAGCATTCCAACCTTCCCAGTTGGAGGTGTTGCTGTTTTTCTGACGTCTGAGTATGAAGTCAAAAGTGACAAATTATGTTTTTGCACGGTGGAAGGAGGACAGAGTATCCAGAAAGAACGAATGTATACACAAGGAGATCATGCAGACCTCACACCGAAGGTCCTGGATCGTCTTTCAGGGAGACAACAGTGTGGACAATTGCGCCACCCTCCCTGAAAATGGATGATTTACATGTTTTTTACACCCAAACAAAAAAAGAAAGTGAACTGTGGTGTAATGTCAGCAATATAAACCCAAGATTTTGGCGAAAGAACTCCCTCTTCCCCCTTTCCCCAGCGGTTTGTACATTGTAATATATGGTGGGTTTATTGGGGGTTAGGGTTAGGGTTTTATGGTTACTTCAGCCAGGAAAAACCGAAGCTAATGTACACTTTACAGGTATACTGTAAAAAAAAAAATATATATATATATTTTAGAAGGGGTTTGCTCACGACAGCCAGCTGGAAACACAAGAAAAACCGACAAACGGCTGCTCAAGGTAGAAAAAGCAGCTCCTTGAAGAAGAAAAACCAACGTAATCCTTAATTAAATGTAAGCTGTGACTTTACTATCCACCACAATTCTTGCATATCGTTCCTCTACTTCTGTAATCCTCCTCTTTGACGCTCGCAATATTAAAATGTTTGTTTCATTTTGAGGTTTACGCTTACAAAAAATACTCAGCTTCTACACATTTATCAGCTTGCTGTATAACCTTCATATCTACTGATAAAGAAAAAAAATTTTTTTGTCACTATTGATCCTGTTGTTGGGCTGCTCATTCCAAGCTGCATAGTCAAAGTGTATTCTTAGGCACTGCTCAGAGATAACTAAACGGCAACCGCAGTGAAAATAAAATCAGCTCCCCCCTGCAGGGGACCTCCACAGCACCCTAATAATGAGTGCTTGGTGATGAGATTTGGGGGAGAAATGCTTCTGCTGTAGGTTTCTGACTTCATTTACGTACTATGCATGTTTGTCAGGTATCAGGTGAAATCATGAGAAGTCAGGTCTGCTTGTGCTCAATTCAATGAACAGAAGCAAACGTTGCATTTGTTTTGCTATGAGAGAAGACCAGATTTTAACAGAAGCTGTTGTTGGCGATGCTGCCTTGCTAGCAAACGGAGACCTGAAGTTTTATATTTAATAGCTGTGTTATTAAATATAAAATATTTATATTTAATAAATATAAATATTTTTTAATATTTATACTAATAAATATTAATAAATATATTAATATTTTAATATTAATATATTAAAATATATATTTTAATATATTAA